GCTAGTATAAATATACTATTATACTATTCGGGTTAACTAACGCCCCTACAATATACTAGAGATAAAACGACAATATTCTATAAGAGTATCTTAATAAGTTTATTATCTACTACCTTAATAATATTCTTATTTATTTAGAGAATAAGAATAAATATAAGAAGTATATTTGTTTAGTTCTAGAAGCCCTAGCTAAGGTAGACTTAAGACTAAAGCTAGAGAAATATAAATTTAGTACTTAAAAAACTAAGTTTCTAGGGTTTATTATTAAACTAGAAAAAATAAATATCGACTCTAAAAAGATCTAATAAATAAAGGACTAGCTAGAATTAGAAAATATTAAAGACGTCTAGTTATTTCTAGGTTTTAGAAACTTCTACTAATAATTTATAGAAGAATATTTAAGGATTATAGAACTACTTACTAATCTTATCTAAAAGGACGTACCCTTCTTTATAGAAGAAAAAGAGAAAGTAGCTATATAGAAATTAAAAGATTAGTTTACTAAGAAACTAGTTATTAGAAGTTTTAGTATTAATAAACTAAGTATAGTCGAGACTAATATCTTAGATACTACTATAGATACTATTTACTTATAACTAGACGAGAATAGAAAAATATACTCTATTATATATTACTTCGAGAAATACTCGCCGGCTAAATAGAACTATAATATCTATAAGAAGAAACTTATAGCTATAGTTAAAGTACTAAGATATTAGAAGATTTATCTTTAAGAAGCTAAGTTTCTAGTTATTATTCTTATAGATTATAAGAACTTATAAATATTCTTAATAATAAAGAAATTAGATAATCGACAAATAGTATAATAGGCCGAAGAACTCGCCTATTTCGATATTATAATTAAATATATAAAGAAAATAGATAATCTCCGGACTAACGCTTTAAGCTATTAACTAGAATATAAAAGAGATAAGATCTATAAAAAGTAAGCTATTCTTAAAAAAGACTAGAATAGAAATCTTATCTCTAACTCTAAGATAATTACTACCCTTACTAAAGTCCGAGGCCTATAGTATAATAATATTATAGACGCCTAGAATAAGAAACTAGTAGCCCCTAAGAAGAGCTCGCTATATAAAGACAGAAAACTTAAAGTACTAAGCTTATATACTTTAGAATTTATCTAGAAATTCTATAAAGCCCTAAAATATAGTTATTAAGAAATTAGGAGAATCTTCTAGAGAATTTAGTAGTAATACTATATCGATAAGCTAAAAGCTTTAGTTAAGAAAGTAGTAACTAAATATAATATTTATATTTAAAACAAATCTACGTACTATATACCTTATAGACTTATAGGACAAATACTTATTTTAAAGAAACTATAGAAGATAATATTATAGAACTTTATTGTTAAACTTCTACTATCGAAAGATCTAATAACAAGAGTCGAGTACGACGCGATTCTAGTTATAATAGAAAGACTTACTAAGTATATAATCTTAATACCTTATAAGAAGTTAAGTACTACTAAGAAACTAGTATACACTTTTATTTAGTACGTAGTTATAGACTATAGTACTCTAGAAGAAATAGTCTTAGACCGAGATAAACTATTTATATCTAAATTCTAGATAGCTATAACTATCTATATAGAAATAAAGCGAAAGCTATTAATATTATTCTATCTATAAATAAATAGAGATAACAAAAGAATAAACTAGATAGTAGAGGTATACTTAAAGTATTACGTAAACTATAAGTAAGACAATTAGGTCGCCTTATTACTAATAGCCTAATTCTCGTATAATAGTATAACTATAGAGATAATATAAGTATTATTATTTAAAGCTAACTTTAGTTATAAGAAAATAGTATTCTAAGAACCTTATAATATATCTATTAATAGTTAGGTAGAAAGAATTCTTATTAATAACCTTTTCTCTCTTTATAAATAACTTATTAAAGAGCTTAAGTTTATTTTAGAATAAAATATATTCTACTATAATAAGAAACGTAGTTAGGAGCCTACGTTAAAAGAGAGGGATAGAGTTTATTTAGTTAGACGAAATATCTAAATAAAACAACTAAGTAATAAACTAGATAATAAGAAACTAAGACTATTTAAAATTAAAGTATATAAAGAACCTTTAAATTATAAACTAGCTTTACTAAAAAGTATAAATATCTTTCTAGTATTCTATATATCTCTCCTCAAGCTAGTACTACCTAGAGCGCTACTAGCTCTAGTTATAGAAATAGAACTAGTAAACCCTAATACTAAGTATAAAGTCGAGAAAATCTTAGACTATAAACTTATTAAAGAAAAACTACGTTATCTAATAAAGTAGAAGAACTACTTATAATTAGAGAATATATAAGAACTAATAAACTACCTTAACTACCCTAGGCGGTTTAAGAAGTTCTACTACTAGTATCTAGGGCCTCCTAGAAGAACCTAAGGTTAAAGTTTAGATCGAGTAGCGAGGGGTCGTAAGTAGAGAAGTCGTCGGGCGGGGTAAGGTAGGCTAGTAGTTGTTCTACTTCTATTTCCCTCTCTTTCTTCTCCCTCTTCTCCTCTTCTTTCTACTACTCTTTCCTCTCTAACTTGTCTAACTTATCTAGTAAGTTAGGGCCCGCCGAGGTCGTCTTCTACTTATACTTATAAGGGAAGCGCTTCTACTTCTTAATATATAGGGCGCGGGAGGTAGCCTCTTATTAGGCCGTCTACGCCTTCTACTAAAGGTCTTACACCTCTTCTTCCTCGGCCTCTAGCTTAGCCTCCTAAGCCTCGATACTCTTCTAGTTAAATTCTATAAGTATCTAGTTTACCTCTTTTATATTATAAGTCTTACTAGTAGTAGTATAGGTACTATAACGACTATAGTTCGGGTTTCGAGAAACTATATATATTTTTCCCGTCTTTTTATAACGAGAATAAGGCGCTATCTTTCTTCTAGTTAAATTAATTTGTTTTCTAAGGGCTATAATATTAGAACGTTTAGTCGTATAGTCGGGTAGTATATTAGAAAGAAGGGAAGTCTATAGCCTTTAACTAACGTATTTCTTAGTTATACTTAAGTATACGGACCCGCTAGTCCGAATAGGGGATAGTATTACGAGTAGCGTCGGCCTCGGCGTCGTAATACTTCTAGGACTAAAGGTCCTAGAATTAGGCGAGGTTACGGGAATTAAGTAGTTCCTAGAACCGCCGTCTAATAGATTAATTTAGTTAATATTAGTTATATTTAGGTTAGTAGATCGGCCCCGGTTTTAGGTAGTATTACGTAATAAGTAGGAGTTTAATAAGTTCGCTAGGTTCGCTATTAAACTCGTCGAACTTATTAAACTCGACGGGACTTAGGTAGAGTAGAAAGTTCTATATAATAATTATAATTTCCTTAGATAAGAGCTTTATACTTAACTTATTATAGTAATAGTATATTATCTATTTAACCTACTCTTATTATAACGAATAGATCTCTAAATCTATAAGTAATAATCTCGCGCCTACTTCTTAATATACTAACCTTATAATAACCCTAGTCTACTCTAAGTAAAACCGAATTGTTATACGTTACTAAAGAAAGATAGAGTAGATGTTTTAGAGGTTAATTTTAGGTAAATACAGAAGGTATAGAGGACTCTTTTAGGAGAAGGACTAGGAGACGATAAACGAGAGTTCTTATTCTAGTATTATTATATCTATCGTCTAAGAGATTATTTAGTAATACCTAGAGCTCTCTTTTTAATAGGATAATACTAAAGAGTATACCTCTACCTTTACTACCTCTATTTTCGAGGTAATTAGGATTAAGCCTATCTTTTAGCTAGCTAACTCTCCTAACCTTAATCTAATTAAGACAATTTAGGACTAAATAAAGGATTTTATCTAAGAAAAGTACCTAGATGTTTATAGGTTATATAAAAGACTAAGAGAAGCTGTCTAAGAAGCCTAGGAATCGATTATAGAAGCAACTATTAAGGATCTAATTAGAGGTATAAGTGATCGATATATTGAGGTTATCGTGGCAAATAGTGGCCATATAAATTACTAGGGTAGTAATTAAAAGCGGCAATTTACAAGCATTTTGGTACACAGACGTGATTTCTACACTAATTAGGCCATGTACGAAGTATTATCTCAGCCAAGATATTGAGGGAATGGTTGACGAGGCCAAGGTTATACGCGATACGGTCTGTATAACATATGTAAGAAATATACGCCGAGTAATAAGCAGATGACGACTCAAGACAATGAATGTATACAGACACAGCCAGGAAATTAATATTCATTCGACGGCAAATCCCGTCTAGTAAGCTCGAGTAAGTACGAGGTAAGATAGACAGGTATCAGTATTAGACAGACAAGCTGCAAGCACATCTGGAAGTGACTCACGTGATCACGGACATATTTCTTCCCCATACGGACTTCTCAAAAAGTCCGCGTCGCGAATGTCCTCTTTGCCAGCACAATTGTCCGCCCCACTGTTTGCTATTTGTGGCTCTTTCATTGGCCCATGCACGGTTTCAGCCCCATTTCGTCATCTAAGTACGCTTTGCAGCAAGGCCTTTGTTGTCGCGAGTTATCGACGCAGAAATCAGTTCGGTAAATCGCACAGTGCGAAGATGCGAACATGGCGAAGATAATCTCACTCGACTAGGATCCACGACATCCACTACACCAGGCTCTAACATCAAATTCGACATTACAAGTGGTCCAAGGAGCAACTCTGGACCGGTCTGGAAGTCTTCCACGTTCTCGGGCCCGTACCGCCCCCCGATTTGGAGTCTATCATTCTTCCATCTCAAGCAACTAACGCCTAGTCTTGAGAACCCTGCAGATCCGTCCACGTTTATTTTCTGTTTACTCCGTACGACTCGAGTGCTTGGGCGACATCACCCTTTATTATACATTGAGACGCCTCCCTCCGTTGAGTTTGTTGTTTTGATTCTCATCAGTAGGTTCGAAGCTGTCTCGTAAAGTCAACAATCGCCAATCGACATCCACCCTGCCATTGGACCGATCGACCAGAACCATGGCTTCTCACGAGCCTGAGGGCTTCGAGTCAATCACACCACATCGCTCTCAGCCATCTGAGGGTTTCCTCACAAAAATTCTCAGTAATGCATCCGGCTTCTCAGAGAGGAAGAAGAGCAGGGCGTATGATGATTCGGAGGATGAGGCCCCAGGGATCACAACGCAAGACTGGAAAATGATGCCAGAGTTGCAAGGTATTCGGGATCAGCATGAGAAAGATCAAGTCAAAGGTCGAAGACTGGGTGTAACGTGGAACAATCTGACGGTGAAAGGAGTTGGAGCCGATGCGGCTATTAACGAGAACGTTGGGTCGCAATTCAACATTCTAAACGGAATTAGAGAGAAGAAAAGCAAGGATCCATTAAAGACCATCATCGATAACAGTCATGGATGCGTCAAGCCTGGAGAGATGTTGCTCGTTTTGGGAAGACCTGGCTCTGGATGTACGACACTTCTCAAGATCCTCGCCAACCGGAGGAATGGGTATGCTGAAGTCACAGGAGACGTGCACTGGGGCTCGATGGATTCCGAACAGGCCAAACAATTCCGAGGACAAATTGTCATGAACACAGAAGAAGAGATTTTCTTCCCTACGCTCACAGTCGGCGAGACAATCGATTTCGCCACGAGGATGAAGGTTCCATTCCACCTTCCTTCGAATATTAAATCACCAGAAGAGTTCCAGCAGGCTAGCCGTGACTTCCTCCTGCGGTCCATGGGCATCTCTCACACACACGATACAAAAGTCGGAGACGAATACGTACGAGGAGTCTCTGGGGGTGAGCGTAAGAGAGTTTCCATTATTGAGACTATGGCCACTCGTGGAAGTGTCGTTTGCTGGGACAACAGCACACGTGGTCTAGATGCTAGCACTGCGCTCGAATACACCAAAGCTGTTCGTGCACTCACCGATATATTTGGTCTGGCGTCTATCGTCACGCTATACCAAGCCGGTAACGGTATCTACAACCTCTTCGATAAGACGCTTGTTCTCGACGAGGGAAAGCAGATCTTCTATGGTCCATTAAAGCAGGCACGCCCATTCATGGAGGAGGTTGGATTCCACTGCACAGACGGAGCCAATGTAGCGGATTACTTGACAGGTGTCACTGTTCCATCGGAGAGAAAGATTCGCGACGGGTGCGAAGATTCCTTTCCACGAACGTCCGAGGATCTGCGTGCTGCGTACCTGAAATCTAGCATCAAGACTGAGATGGAGCGGGAATACGACTATCCTCATACCGATGAAGCAAAAGCTTTCACGGAAGAGTTCAAGGAAAGTGTTACGCACGATAAGCATAAGAGCCTGCCAAAGAAGTCGCCTTTAACGGTCAGCTTTACAACCCAGATCAAAAATTGTGTTATTCGTCAGTACCAGATTATCTGGGGTGACAAGGCTACGTTTATCATCAAGCAGGCCTCGACACTCGCCCAGGCTCTCATTGCTGGCTCTCTGTTCTACAATGCTCCCAACAACTCTGCTGGTCTTTTCGTCAAATCCGGTGCTCTCTTCTTGGCTCTTCTGTTCAACTCTCTTCTTGCAATGTCTGAAGGTATGTGACCCGCATCTGGCTGATTATATAGTGTTTACTAATATTATGATAGTCACTGATTCCTTCTCCGGTCGTCCTGTACTCGCAAAACACAAGCAATTCGCCTTCTATCACCCTGCCGCTTTTTGTCTCGCACAGATCGCAGCGGATATACCTGTATTACTCTTTCAAGTTTCTCACTTCTCACTCGTCCTATACTTTATGGTTGGGCTGAAGCAAGATGCTGGCTCCTTTTTCACCTTCTGGATCTTTGTTTTCGCCGCTGCGATGGTCATGACGGCTCTCTTTCGCGCGATCGGTGCTGGCTTCGGTACTTTCGATGATGCCAGTAAGGTCTCTGGTTTCATCATTGCTGCTGCGATCATTTACACTGGTTATATGATTCGAAAGCCTCAAATGCATCCTGTAAGTTTCTCCCCCTACAGTCTATACCATCGCTAACATTATCGTAGTGGTTTGTTTGGATCTTCTGGATCAATCCGATGGCGTACGGTTTCGAAGCATTAATGGCAAACGAGTTCCACAATACCCTCATTCCTTGTATCGCCACGAACCTCGTCCCTAATGGACCAGGATACCTCGACTCTGCTTATCAAGCTTGTACCGCTGTCGGTGGAGCACTTCCTGGCGCGACTGTGGTCACTGGAGATCAATACCTCTCATCCCTTTCCTACTCCCACTCTCACTTGTGGCGCAACTTTGGAATCCTCTGGGCCTGGTGGGTGTTGTATGTCGGCATGACTATCTACTTCACCACCAACTGGAAAGAATCAGCTGGTAAGACGAGCGCACTCTTGATTCCAAGGGAAAAGGCGTCAAAGAACAAGAAGCATCTCGCAAACGATGAAGAATCTCAGACCACCGGCGAAAAGGTGACTCCAAAGCCCAGCGACAAACCAGGGAGACAGTCTTCATCCGAGACCTTGGCGACAAAGGAGCAATTGATCCGTAACACTTCTGTATTTACCTGGAAAAACCTCACATACACAGTCAAGACACCTTCTGGTGATCGCGTTCTTCTCGATAACGTCCAGGGATGGGTAAAGCCTGGTCAACTCGGTGCTCTCATGGGATCTTCTGGCGCGGGTAAAACCACCCTCCTTGATGTTCTCGCCCAGCGCAAGACAGACGGTACTATCAAAGGATCAATTCTTGTCGATGGTCGCCCTCTCAATATCAGTTTCCAAAGATCTGCTGGTTATTGTGAACAACTCGATGTCCACGAGCCTCTTGCGACTGTTCGAGAAGCCCTTGAGTTCTCAGCACTCCTCCGTCAATCCAGAGAGACACCTGATGCCGAAAAGCTTCAGTACGTTGATACCATTGTTGATCTTCTGGAACTACACGACATTGAAAATACTCTTATCGGTACAGTCGGCGCTGGTCTTTCTGTCGAACAGCGCAAGCGCTTGACTATCGGTGTGGAACTTGTCTCTAAGCCAAGTATTCTGATCTTCTTGGACGAACCTACCTCTGGTCTTGATGGTCAAGCTGCCTTTAACATCGTGAGATTCTTACGAAAACTCGCAGATGTCGGTCAAGCTGTCCTCGTTACTATCCATCAACCTTCTGCCCAACTTTTCCTTCAGTTCGATACCCTTCTTCTTTTAGCTAAGGGAGGCAAAACTGTCTACTTTGGTGATATCGGCGAGAATGCCTCGACTCTCAATGAATACTTTGCTCGTTACGATGCAGCCTGTCCAAAAGAATCCAACCCCGCCGAGCACATGATCGATGTAGTTTCTGGAACACTATCTCAAGGCAAAGATTGGAATAAGGTCTGGCTCGAGTCTCCGGAACACGAACATACCATCAAGGAGCTTGACAGCATCATCGATGAAGCTGCATCCAAGGAACCTGGCACTGTTGATGATGGCTTCGAATTTGCAACACCAATGTGGACACAGATTAAGCTCGTCACTCGTCGCATGAATACTTCGATTTGGCGAAACACAGATTACATCAATAACAAGAACGCATTACATATTGGTTCAGCCCTTTTCAACGGCTTTACATTCTGGAACATCGGCAACAGTGTCGGCGATCTTCAACTCCGTCTCTTTACCGTCTTCAATTTCATTTTCGTCGCTCCTGGAGTTATCGCCCAACTTCAACCCCTCTTCATCGACCGCCGTGATATTTACGAGGCTCGTGAAAAGAAATCGAAGATGTACTCCTGGGTTGCTTTCGTAACAGGTCTTATCGTCTCCGAGCTTCCTTACCTCTGCGTCTGCGCCGTCCTCTACTTCGTCTGCTGGTACTATACTGTCGGTTTCTCCACCGATTCTAACAAAGCCGGTGCCGTCTTCTTCGTCATGCTCTGCTATGAATTTATGTACACCGGTATCGGTCAATTCGTTGCCGCCTACGCACCTAACGCTGTCTTTGCGTCCCTCGTCAACCCTTTGCTCATCGGTACTCTCGTCTCTTTCTGTGGTGTCCTTGTTCCTTATGCCCAGATCACTGCGTTCTGGCGCTACTGGCTCTATTGGCTTGATGTAAGTCCCTTGTCCATTTTCAATCAACAGAATAGATGATTAACATAATTCCTAGCCATTCAATTACCTCATGGGTTCCCTCCTCGTCTTCACCACCTACGATGAACCCGTCCGCTGCACCGAAAGCGAATTCGCCATCTTCAACCCTCCCAACAGCCAAACTTGCGGCGAATACCTCACAGACTACATGCAAGGCATGGGTGCGCGAACCAACCTTACCAACCCAGATGCCCTAGAAGGCTGCCGCGTATGCCAATACAGAACCGGTGCCGACTACCTTTCTACCCTGAACCTGCCAGAATACTATTACGGCTGGAGAGATGCGGGTATCGTCGTGCTCTTCGTGTTTAGCAGTTATGCGATGGTTTATTTGCTCATGAAATTGAGGACTAAGAGGAGTAAGACTGCTGAGTAGACTGTGCTTGGGTTCAGCTGTTTGTAATTATTAGGGTTTTCTTTTGTTTAGGTGGCGTGGCGTTTGGGTGATACCAGGAATAGATTGGGATAGATTGCTCGACTCGGCGTAGATGAGTAAAAATATAGAGAGGATAATTAATATGATAAGATTTAAACATTATACTACACCCGGCCTTGTTTAGGGAGTAGGATTTCTTATATAGTTCTAGATAATTATATAGATTTGAGGAATCCTGTATTACGAACAAATCATGTAATATTTATATACTTTCAATTTGCCAGAATTATGACAATGGGGAGGAGGTTGATGGTCGGGTAAAAGTGGGCCCACCCCATCATGTTGTGAATCATCCCGCGCAATCTAGATGCCCCACGTAGGTGGTCATCGCGTCTCTAAATAAATTATATTGTCATCCTCCTCCACGATCCGCAAACTACGACGATCTGTCACACAATCTTGCCAGGAATACCGTTTCTTTCGCCATCTTCCCGTAATAGTCGATACAGCTAAAGTGCACATTATCTAGAAGAGTAGCAATCTTTTAACCCTGCTATCATGTCTCAACCTCCGACCACTGTACAGGTCAAGAGAAGGCGCACCGATGAGCCTGTCGATTTTCTGCGTTAGTACTCTTCAATAGGCGATGAGACTGCTGAGCTGGGCTAACAATTGAATAGGTGTGCATGAGCTCACTGGAAAGAGACAACGCACCGGCAACTTCGTCTTCTCGCGACAACCTACACCCATCACTGAAGGAGCCTCCCCCGCTATTCAAAGCCAACCTCAAGCCGGTAGGCAGATCAAACCTATTCATCGATCGATACAAAGCTCCAATGCGGCTTCCAATAATGAAGGCGTCGTCACACAGGGAGAAGGGTCAAGTGAGATTGCGGGCACTGAGAAAAGCGCGAATGCTCCAGTACCCGAAGTAGAGATGGAAGATTTGACCGCTGGAAACCCTCGCCGGTTTCACATGTCACGAAAGTCTATGCAGAATCCTCTTGAGTTGGGGAAGGGCAGGAAACGCGGTGCGACAAACAGCCTAACATTCATGGAGCGGAAGGCTCGAAAATTGCCATTGGGTACAAAGGAGGTAGTGGGAACTAAGGAAGTTGCTTCTGATGTACCTGAAGAGAGTCCGGTTGAGACACCACGTCCTCGAAAGAAACCAGGTCTTTCTTCTAGAATTAAAGGTTCTCCGGCAACTGATCCGACCACACCCAAGCTCTCTCCAAAACCAGCGCAACTTCAAAATATTCGCCTACCCAATGGTACAATAATGCCATGGGATGTTAACTCTGAAGTATTGGCTGCGGAAATGCAGGCGTATACTCTTCAAGAGATTGGACGGAACATTGAACAAGCTAATAAATTCCAATCTGGTCGTGACAAGCAAATTTCTTCGCCGCTGCGGCAAAGCACCCCGTCCAAGTTCAAGCCAAAGAAGCCAGCACTTCGGTATGCAGAACGACATCCTGAAGAGGCTGCCAAGATGAATGCCATCGATGCTATGGACATGGATGACTGGTCTAGTGGTGATGAGGATATGGGAGATGATTCTGAGTATATTATTGACACATACGTTCGCATGCCGGCGGGCACTCTACAATGTTCTGGCAGTCCAAAGAACTTCGGATTGTTGATTTTGGAGTCTCAGCCGGATATTGATGAATTTTATCTAGAAGAGCAGGATAGCGACGAAGATGACGAAGACGAGGATGAGGATGAAAATGGTAAGATTAATTTGCGGATCGTGTTGCTCTTGCTAACGGTATTCAGCCGAAAACCACTACAGCGCAGACTATCCTGACGACGAGGTCGATTCAGATGATGAGTTTGATCGTAATCCATATTCCTACCGACACGATGCATTTGATGAAGACGATGCGACCTTTAGCGGTGACGAGAAACCAGCTTGGCTCAAGCAAAGTGACATGTCAGATGGGGAGGAGGATGATGAAATCTAATAAGGACGTAGCTGACTTGTCGATTTAACATATCACATAATATACAGAACTTTCTTCGATTGCGACCATGAGACATACACTTTCAGAAGCATTGTTTTTCTTTGCTGCTTCGAGTTTCAAAAGCACCTGCCGCCAGTCAACTGATTCCTCTGTTATTGGATACCATATATATAGAACGGGAGAAACCCGACAACGATGATGTGAAGACGATATCCTTTCCCATTTCGACACAACCTTGAACGCCTACTCCTAACTCCAGCCTAACCGTATACCAAAACCTAAACCATGTACGCCGAAACAAAACTTTGGGCCTAAAAGCCCTGGCAAACTCAACACCTAGCACCCTCCAGGAAGGAGACCATCTGCCTCCATGAGGCGAATCATTCTGCGCCAACGCCATTTTTCTAGGATCCGTCAGCCATCAATCACGATTGTCAGAAGGAAAGAGACTCACTATTCTTGGGATCCGGATCAACGAACGTTCCATTCTCTATCATCGCATCCCTGATCTCATCCTGTCTGAGAATATCCATGGCCCTGGCCTTATCTGCAAGACTGACCCAGCTATACTCCAACGCTCGATGTGGAGATAACTCAATAAGTGTATATGGGAAGTCCATGGCCTTGCCTTCAGGAGTTGATCTTCCTCGGACTGGAGCTGGATCCAATACAGGTCTTCCATCAACAAGAATGGGCACCCAGTTGACATGTCGCGGTCTGATGTTACAACGGTAATAGCGCGAAGAGAAGCACTGATCCGATTCACGGTGGTCTTCCCAGAATCGACGGAACCGAGCTGGATGGCCTTTCCACGGAACGCCCAAATCTTCTTTGGTGTATCTGATGAAGTGAACTTGCTCACTGGTATACGCCTTGTTAGAATGTGGCGTCTTGTTGACTCTGTCGGCTGGATGGCGTGAAGAAGAAGATGGTGGTGCTGAGCTTTGTCGTGAATGATGGCGCTGAGGTCCATGGCGGCCGCGATAATGTGATGATGAAAACCGATTCAAGCCAGTAGAAGCTGCATATCGTCGCCGGGAGCAGTCTTCATAGCTGCCTCTTCGATTGTACGACCCTCCTCGTGGGTTAATAGGCCGCAGCGGCAGTGCAAGTCGATTGTCGGAGAAACTACGATTCTCATAGTGGGGTTGACTATGTCTTCTAGAGATGTCGAGGTTGTTCATAGACCTTTCCACGGAATCAGGTTCGCTTCTCAATGATTCCGCATCATCTTCGTCGTCTGATGGGTTCAGCAGACTTGAAATTGCCATAGGGTTGCCTTGTTCGGGTTGTGGCGCTATGATCAAGTATATGTGCAAGCTATCGGGTAAAAGGCTCTGTTTCTTCTGTTGATCTTCCACATTCGCGATTCCCATCACTCCGATGATGACAAAAAGATAACTCGAAAGCGTTTAATAAGGACAAGATATTGAAAATCAGACAATAGGTAGTTGTTTGATGGTTATCAACGATATATCGCTCTTTGCATAGCACGAAGGATCGTTGCCGTGTGCTATATATGAAGAGTCGAATACCAACATCACTGGATCCTTGTAAGCAACACGTTGGGCTTAACTGGGCGACTAATGCTGCTGTACGACTACTATGAAAATGCAGCAGACCGGGAAAAGAAGCGTTCGGCAAGGAATGTGGAGTTTGACTTTTCGAGACACACCTTCTACGCCTAAGCCAGTCTGCTCAGCCCAAGAAATCTCCAGCAGGACGGAGCCGAGTTGGAGCGCCAGCACGAACGATTGGCTGTCACGGGCGTGCATATCCAGTGGGAATGGAAAGCTTTATCTCAGGGTGCTGTTGGTTATTGTGATCCAGTAGCCTGGGCGAATTACGGATCTTGGACGTTTCCATGGCCCCTCAGTTGATTCGGTCTGTCAGCACAACAGGTGTAATCTTGTTGGTTGCTGCAAGAGGCAGGAGCGTGCCGGCTGATTCGATACCCGGCTACCAAGTACCAGAAGTATCTTTTTGTCACTTGGGACGGTCCGTAGAAGCTGTCGAGCGGCGGCCCGAAGAAGTTTGTGCCACCCTGCCCCGAGGCATAAAATTCGACAAACCTTTCGCTTTCGCTACCCATTAGCGAGCCCCTTTCCATTGGCCTGGTTTCTGCGTCTCCTCCTTCTCGCCCATGCCAGGCGGCAACGACTTTCTTCCTTCTTCAGTAGGCGGCCGACCGAGGATTCATGGTCTGGCGAAACGAAACACTCGCTTAATCTACACCTCTATGAATATATACTGCAAGACCCTCCGTCCCTACGACATCGTCACGTCAAAATGATTGCTCTCAGCTTCAGCAAAGCTCTCTCCCGCTCGTATCTCCCTCCCTCCCTCCAGCCATCGCCATAGTGTCACAAACTCACCTGTCAATTCAGACTCAGACGCACATACAAGGATGCATTCAGCCAGGCACGCCTCAACCAAACAGCTGGGTCGCTTAATGCGTACAACGCGCTCCTTTATTCCTAAACCCCTTCCGCCAGCGCACTCAGGTTACCATTTCACGTCAAAGCACAGCGTGCCATTTCCTTGGGGGGGGCAAATCATTTTTTTAATGGTACAATCGTGTCGTTCCCGCAGGAGATAACAGTCACTTGATACGCCCAAAGCAGCCATTTCCTCCGTCTCAGACCAATGAGAAGGGTGCGAGCTGCAGAATACACCTATGACAATCTCGTCGCGAATTGATTCGGTCCAAAAAACCCTGGCCCAACGTCTCGACATGCGTGGTCCCCCCAGATTCGCTCCTTCGTCATTGCAGAAACGCACCCGTTTCGAGTAGATGAGGCGCCCGAAGCGAGGCAAAACAAATCGATCAAGCACGTAAGGGAGTTTTATGAAGATTTGTTCGGCTCGCACGACGGCAGCGGCTGGTCAAACATCGTTCCCCACTTGTTCTTCAACAGTGACATGGCAGTTGTTCATCGTCCAGAGAAAAATGTTTCCCAATACATGCGGCTTACTCACCTCCCGGTTCTTGACATACGATACATACATCATCACATATATCCCACCTTTCGCGCGCTTGCCGCGACATATATCACTCTTACGGCCGTTTCTGGTTCCTGGACCCGTGATCTAGCTCAATTTACCTTTTTTACCCCAAGATCCGGACGGCGGAGTAACCAACATCGCGGCGGTCCAATTTACCCGTACCGAAGGATGTACCTACGAAGCTTTGGGTTGGGTGAGCGTGGTGGTTAATTGTGTGGTGTATGCTCTACCGACTCTACGCTGCCTTGTGCAATATATTTAATGTTTTAATGCTGCATTCCACCACGTTGTGTTCAAGCAGGAAGACGCACTGGTTGTACAGCGTTTCTGTGTGTAGGTACTTTTGTAAGCTTAAAATAGACGAGGGGGGTGAGGGACGCCGAGTACCAATTTGTGGGGTTTGCGAATATGTGCTTATGTTTATTGAATCGAACTCCTTGAGCATTTACCTAGATATGGATCAATGAGTGGGAACCATACAAAGCAGCGGCATATCCAACATTCCTTTGCCTCTGCTTGTCTGGTAATACGTGGACTGGAATGTGAAGGTGGAGGTTTGGGTTAGTGTACCGAGAGAATGGTTCCGCCGTGTTTTTGGGCGCATTCTTGGAGGATCAATCTTGGAGGATTGTATGAATGGGTGGGGATATTGGAGAGGGTTAAGCGCTGGTGGTGCAGGGCAGGGCAAGGCATGATGACGGACGAGGTGATGAAGGGGATCGGAGGGTTTGGACGGAGAAAGAGAGATGGTGGAGAGATGTGAGTGAGTGAGTGTCGAGGGTTTACGGAATCGGAAGGCGCTGAGAGTTTAGAAGGGCCTGGAGCTTCGAGAGCCTTGAGGGTTACTTTGCGGAGGAGTTCACGGAGGCCTCCTACCGTGTGCCTTGTAGGTAGTGCCTTACCGTGTCTAGGATTTTCCTTTAGCCGCCGTATCGCTCTCTCCTATCTCTTCTCTTTTTCCCTTTCTCAATCCTAATTTCAACAAGGGATTCTTCAGTAATGCAATGACTTACAATCAGCCCATTTTATTTCTTCAACGCCATCGTTCTAGACTAGCATTGAATTCTGTATCGATCGAATGATTGTTAGACATTTTTCTGTAGGCAAGAGATATAGAATGTGAGGGGTTTGCGCCATGATGTTGGGGAGGCATGTGATGACACGGTGGGTTGGGGGGAGTAGCCTTTTGTGGACGGGGTGGTGAGAGAGCCTGTGATGAAGGTAGGACAGCAGAGTGAGCCAGTGAGGGGTATGGTGATAGGATACTCTCACTCCATTACTGACGAACTCCACCGGAGTTGGGATCAAGAGCCTACTGAACTTTCAGTGCTCCAATCCACTCAGGAACGTGGAGATCGAGAACTTCAGCGTGCTGCAGTTGCAGCTATCCAGTCGCTGCTCCAACTTGACAGTTCTGCACGTACTACTCAATCCACCGCTCCAGTCTTACTGGACAATTGGACTTGAAGTCCGTGACACAGCTGTCTAGACTAAAGACTCTCAGTGTTCTGAGGCCAAACATCTGTGGGGAGCGACAGACTAATTTGTAGAGGCAAAAGTGATCGCTGCTTGCCATCATCGCATGGTGCAGAGTCCACTTCTCATTCGCCGCTCGTGGTACAACTATCTCAACGGGACATTCTGACTGCTGATCTGGAAAATTTAAGTCTATAGCGAGTTACAGTCTTAGCTGTCCGACGAGGAATTAGTCGCTATTTCCCTTCATCACAGTTGAACTACTCAACTCATCACCAGCCAAAATCCCATCACTGAACCATCAACAATCACCAGAATCTAGAACTCCATACCCCAACTCAAACCCACCATCCGATTCCTGTCTCACCATCGCATGGTTTCGTCCCAAGCTCTCCTGATCATCCAAGACACATCCCATTCTTCAGACATCTTTTCTCTATTGCCACCCCCTTTCCTCCATCCCCTTTCTCCAGGCATCTTCGGCATATTTTGCCGCTGAGAATAGTGGATATGCCGAAGCTCTTCCTCCTTCTAGCACAAAGCCGAGGAATAATGAGTACTTGTTGATACTTCTTCATTGTCACTTGCTGATACTGAATTTACCGAAGGATTGGTACGCTGTGTTGTCGGATGGCACTGCATCATGTTTTAGTTTGGGCATGGAGCGCGATATCGGAACGCGTGGTGTGCGTGGGATCGTGGTGTTGTGGAATGTGGTGGGTTGGAATTCTGGGAAGTTCTGGAACGTGGGTGATGCTAGACATTACGGATTTGATATCCGGACCTTGATATCCTGATATCTTCTTGTAAACTATCTTCTCTAGATATGAAAAAGCCCGTATTTAAAACCAGAATCGAATCCAATTTCAAATTCAAACATCAAACTCAAAACTCAATCCCTCCATCTCCGTCGGCCGCACCACCCCCCGGACAAAAGGCCCCCCATCAAGCCATATCACCATCAGAGACATGCAAACCCGACAGTCTGGTTCGATCACAGCGCCTAGATTCTCGTCTTCACATTCACGGTTAGCGCCGCGTGCGTACCCTGCCGGGTGATTTCGCAACCCTTCTTTACTGCTCTCACGACGCTACTGGAATGCGTTGGTGTTTGTTTGTGTGGTCAGGGTGTTGAAGCGCCCTGCGAGGAATAGGGGGGCGATGCGGGACCGTTGAGGCGCGTTCGTTCTTTTAATTAAGATTTGGATTTAGGTTTGAGTTTGGACTTTTGGGTTTATCTTGGAAGGATTACGATGCGAGCGGCTATCTGATTCTAGGAGCGTTTTCTCCATGCTAAGACAAGGCACGGATACTGTGGAGTACGGGGAAGGACTTAAGCTTGTATCTTATTTTTGGGTTTATTGGTTCAACACGCAATGGACGGCTTTCTTGTTGGGTGGCTTGGAAGTGCAAATGCGGTGTTGGTGGAGGGGCTACTCGCTTGTTGTGTTGTATGGTTCTTTGTGTCACCTGGACTGCTTCTGGTGCTTTGCAGCTTGCACGCTGTTGGTGGAGTGGGAGTGTTGAGGATTAGAAGGGGCTGACGGTCTGTGGTGTTTCATGAGATGCAGAGTAGGTTGCTGATGAGGTGGTGCTTTGGGAGTGTTTGCGTTTGAGAAATGCGATGGTTGCACAAGCGTCTAACTCGTCTGGATTGTATGTGATATTAAAAATGTGATTCTGAGAGGTGAAATGTGAAGTATGAGAAGTGAGGCAGTTTTCTTCGTTCTTTAATGACCATACATCACATTGGGTAGAAATCAACATTGTGGATGCCGTCGATACCGTTCCCTGACGATACGCGGCCGATGAAGAAGCAGACAGGACATCTATTGGATGAACCTCACCACTCGGTGAAGAAGAGCGCAACTTCATTCGCTCCATCCCGTTTGTGATGAAAAATGGCTTTCTGAATGGCGTGGTCCGGGAAAATGCAACGAAGTGGGAATGTTGTGGAACTAGGAAGTTTGTTGGTGAAGATGGGAGTGGAGAGCCTTCCAACGCCATCGGCATTGGAAGGCTTCGTGATGGTCTGCGACACCTATCGGGGTGATGATTGGGAAGCAGATTTTACAAGCTCGCAGGTTGGAGACGTTTGTCTCGAATGTGCTGGTTCTCCAATCAATCCGTAAGCTGACCAAGGCTCCGTAACCGTCAATCTTAATGTCCTTAGCTTGGAGACAGCCACCTAGATCAAGCCATTCGGCAAGAGGATGAGCCTATCATTTCTTTGCTGTTATGGACATTGCGGAGTGTTGGTCTTCCATGGCGGTGCGTGATGGCTAAAGTGTCGACGTTTGATTTCTGCTCCGTGTCTTGATCATATCATTTTCAACGTCTCCGACTGCCCCATCACGAGCAGAATTCTGCAAGTTTGTGACAGATTGAATGTACATCACCGTAGAATGCAGTGAGGTCGACGTTTTTCCTCTGTGAGATGGTGTCATTGTGATGCTTTGGAGGAAGCGAAGAAGCTTATTCTTGAGAGCCCTGGATCATAAAAGAGAGTACAGTACAGCACAGCGAGTGGAGGTTTCGAGAATGGTGATCCGCTCATCCCTTTTAGCGCTCGCCATCCATCTTTTCTCAATATGTCTTGCACATGATGCCGACTTTCTCCGCTATCTTCCGCTTTTAGATCCGCAGTTCAAATGGTGACAAGGTATGCAACTTACAACGTAGATCCCAGAGAATCCACAGCACTATTGTTAAAATAGCTTTTCATGGACTCCAAAATTAGACTTCATAAAGAGCTGTAAGACAGGAGCGGCTTCGGCTTAGCAGTGAATTCTGTCGCATGACTTCGATCTTTGTGGAACCTGAGCATTCTGCCCAAGAGGACAACAAGAGTCGCAGATTGAATGATGCTAGCATGAGGCATGGCCTGTAGTGTTATCAGCAATCTATCCTGTCAGTCATGTAGTAGCCTAATGATGTAGCTTGAGCGATCAGATACTGTGGGACACTGAATCTTCATATGGACTTCGGTAAAGCCCCTTTCCCCCAAGATTGCATTCTACTGCGATTTGACATGTGCAAACACAAAGAGAAGAGGAAAAACTCCTGAGCAATAGCAAGATCACATAGGAATTTGACCATTGTCGTGGCTCGGAAGCTCGTACGCAGCTGGGTAAGAGATTTCGTTCCTGAAATATATAGTCCGTTGAAGTCAGTCTTCTCAGTGAATAGAATACAATGTAGAAAAGAAAACATTTGCGAAATAGTATTATTTGGCTGATTTAATTGAGTGACCGAGTAATCTTGTTAAACCTCTGAAGTGTCTCTCAGTGTTTGTAAAGCCTGCGCATGCTACCTTTGGAGACGTCATGATATCGCCTTGAGATTCTGGAATAGACATGCGAGTATCGCCATAAGAGTGCAGCAGAGGAGATGTAGCATTGATAAAGTCTTTTGACTTTACAATGGGCTTGGTGAGAAGGTTGTCAAGTGAACGAGAGGTGATGCATACCGTGATGTATCATGAAATGTTGAAGCCAAAGTTTTCAATGGGAGCTCTAGATTATGCCAGGCACGCCGGCGCAAATTCCTGATTGAGAGTCGTAGTGCATCTACGCCAACGCTTCGTATATTTAACTCGTAGAAGCTAGACCCAAATGAAGGGTAGCACGATGCACAATTGCAGCCATCTTCGAAGTTACCCCACTTGAATATTGTACTTTCTTAAATAGTCGCAAGCAAGATTTGCACTCCAACTACCTTCCTGCTCATACATAAACAATCGGAAGATCGGACCTGTCTGCAAAAGATTTTTCAAGCGTTGAACAACTGTCACATCTTTTGTTAAAATTCTGCAAATACTTGCGACTAAAAAGGTGACGTTTGGCGCACGTGACACATAGATGAATCGCGAACTTTCGTGCTAAAGTCAACTCTGATCTTCAGAAGCTTTGCGCCGCAACCACCAACACGAAATGACTTAACAGTGAAGCTGCGTAGCGAGCAGCATGGATAGTATAGATGTCCGTGTATCGTAGACGTCCAAATATACCCCCGAATATCTCTTCGAATCCTTTGTCGCGAGACCGTCCTAACTCTTCATCCTCCCTGGATACAAACGCATCGCATCCAACGCTTTATTGTGGGTAGCATTCGACATCTAGGCAGACGCACCGTACTGGTATTGGAAAACATCGAGGCTATCTTGAGGAAAACAAAGCTCCTGTCGAAGCGTGGGATACCCGCAAGATTCTCTGCGGCGCGTTTGCCTTGAAGCTTGCGAAATATCTACAACATGGCCGTCATTCCTAGTCCTCTCACGAACCTTGAGGTACCGGGCACTAAATTCGAGGGGAATGATCTGTACAATGTGCGGAAAGCGGTTGCAACACTATTGGATCAAAAGAATCTACGTTTTCCAGGTGCTCAACCTGTGAGCTTTGCCAGAAAACATCTCGAAGAACTCACAAGGGAAGAGTAAGTTTGTATTTGATATGCGATGTATTCCTGGCTTACTTTTGACTAGCTACTATGTCTGCGAAAAGTCGGATGGCATGCGATACCTCCTTTACCTCACCGAAGACCCTGGCGGCCGCGAAGCACACTTTCTGATCGATCGAAAGAACGACTTCTGGTACGTGCCATTCGAGAAGTTACATTTTCCTATACCAAAAAATACCGCTGGATACCATATAAACACGATCATTGATGGGGAGTTGGTCATGGATAAAGTGCCCGGAGGCGGTACTCAAGCCAAATATTTGGTGTTCGATTGTATGGTGCTTGATGGAAACAGCCTGATGAACAGAACGCTTGACAAGCGATTAGCTTACTTCAAGGAGCGCGTAATGGATCCATATTTACAGCTTCTCCAAGACTTCCCTTCGGTAAGTGGTATCTGCTTTGCTGTGGGCAATACGCTAACGGAATCACAGGAGAAGCAATTTCTTCACTTCATCATGGAAATGAAATCAATGCAGCTTGGTTACGCGATTGACATGATGTTCAATCAAGTTCTTCCAAACCTTGCCCACGGTAATGACGGTCTGATCTTCACTTGCCGGACAAGCGAATACAAACATGGGACTGATCCACACATCCTCAAATGGAAGCCTGAAAATGAGAACAGTATTGATTTTCGACTGAGACTTGATTTTAAGTTAATTCAACCGGATGAGCAGGACAGGGCGGAGGGTATCACAGAGCCATATTATGACTATGACAGTCAGCCAACTTGCAATCTCTTCATATTTGAAGGAGATGGTCGTGAGGATAGCTGGGGTGGAGAGTTGGTTCTTGCCGAGGGAGAATGGGAGATGCTGAAATCACAAGGTCACCCATTACAAGACCGCATTGTGGAATGCTATAAGGATGACAAGAAACAATGGCGCTACATGAGGTTCAGAGACGATAAGGAGAATGCAAATCATAGGAGTACAGTGCAAAGCGTGATCGAGAGTATTGAAGATCGAGTCACAAAGAAAGATCTCGCCGAAGCTGCTCCGAGGATCCGAGAGGAATGGAAAAGACGAATGGCAAAGGAGAGAGAGAAAGTACGTGCAACCTCGACAGGAGCAATTACCAACACACCAATGGGTGTGGGTGTAAAGAGGAAAGCAGATGAGCAAGGAGCTGCGAGACCAAGTCCCGGGCCTCCTGCGGAAAAGAAACTTTGACTGACTGCCGTCCGTTCATGCGCGTATGGCGTCTCAACTACATTACAGTGTGTCCTTATTACTGATCTCAACTGGCGTTTGTGGCTGGCTAGGCTACTCAGGGCATCCCAATTCCGGGACTTGCGGTACGGTAACACACAGGAATTTGGTGATATTTACGGGCGTTGGTTATTACTTAACGGCGTCGTACAACTTTTTGTCTAGATGGATATGGTATGGCTAGCTTGGCTGGATATTTCGGGCGTGCTGGCGCTTTTCGATTGACGCACATTTAGGGTAATGTTACGGATTACAATTATAAACAAAAATTTACACCCTCATATCACAGACCTGAGCAGCATCTCTTTGGCTGTAAGTTTATATCTCTGTGGTGGAGTATCCCGCGCCGCATAGCTGCATTTGACCTACAGTGGGATATCAGCAACAATGTCAACGCTGGATGAACCATTGGTCCCCGTATTTCTAACGGTTATCTTGTACGCGTCACGTTTGAAGATCTAAAGCTCTTATTATCCAGAAACTCTTTGCGGAATTTTTAACTCCGACGCCAAGCTCTCACTGCATACTTCACGTAAATCTTCAGACTTCCCCCATTCATTGTCAGGTTGACACATCTTTAACATAGTATTTCATTCCTATATCCGAATTACTGTTGAAATGGATGTTCATGTCATATCCAAGAAGGATAATAGTGTGCATACGACTATCACACTAGAGAATGAAGGTCTGGGTGAGCTAGGCAGCAATTCTGTTAGGGTCAAGACAAAGTTGATTAGTTTGACGTCGAATAATTTGAGTTATGCGAGAGGAGGGAGTTTCCTTGGTTGGTGAGTTGTATTTTTCATTATGATACTATTTACTTTGTGAGATTGTAAGTGTCGAAAGCCACTCGGATGCTCTTAAGAAGAAACTCTTGACCTTCCTTCTGCGGCCTTACAACAAATGACTTCAAAAGAGTTTGACGTGTACATGGAAACTGACTAATATCTCTCCAAAGGTGGAACACTTACCCTGTCCCTTCATCCCTTCCCGAGCCTTACAACGATACCAACGATTGGGGTATCGTTCCAGCCTGGGGATTTGCAACCATCACCAAGTCAAACATCCCAGAACTTGCCATAAACTCGACACTCTACGGCTTCTGGCCAACATCAGCTGCACTAATCGACTTAAAACTTGAACCATGGATGCAAAAGGGTTATTTCACCGAAACATCACCTCATCGAGCAAAGTTGATGACCGTCTACAATCGGTACCATGTTGTCTCTGAACCACTTCCCTCAGCCGATGAATTAGCATGGCGATCGCTGTTCTTTCCAGTCTGGCAAACGGGTCATCTCTTAAGCCAATACGTCTTCCCAGCTCCGAGTCAATCTCAAATTCCAATACACCCACTTGGCATGGGTGACGCGTGGAGCAAAGATGATGCCAATCTCACATCTGCTCTGGTGATTAGCTTGAGTGCAAGTAGCAAGACTGGGAGATCATTTGCATGGCATTTGAGCAAGCGAGCGAATGGTACCGGACCATTAGGACTCTTGCAAGTCTCCTCCATTCCCGATGCTATCTCCAACGCCGCCGAAACGATGAGACTGGGCTTCCCTCAAAAATCAGTAAGCTATACTGATCTCGAAAATACCATCTCTTCGAACTGGCTCACCGATCTCAAAGCCGAGAAAATCGTCATCTTCGATTTCGGAGCAAGAGACGGCGTGCTTGAAATGCTCGCCGACACCCTTTACTCTCATCCTACTCTCATGGGTTCTCGAGTCGTGATTCTTCAGGTCGGCTCTGAGCAGAAAGTGTATAGCTCGACCGAGCTTGCGGAATCTCAGGCCGCGTTTAAGAAGCTTTCGAAGATTCAGGTTAATACTTCGACGATTAGGGATTCGATTCTTGCTACGGAGGCTGGGAAGCATTATTTTGAGGAGTCGGATAGATTGTGGAATGAATGGAGCAGAGATCGCGAGAATGTATGCCTTGGTATGAAGTTGGTGTGGGGAGAGGGGGTGAAAGGTGGGGATGGGCTTGAAGGGGGGTGGGACAGGCTGTGTAAGGGAGCTGTTGGAGCGAACCAGGGGCTGGTTTATAATCTCTGAGGATGGCGTTCGAATTCTTTAAATTAATTTAACTTCGCACTTAACCATACCCGGCCTGACAAAATATGTGACTGAATTACGATGCTTGTTCATTGAATATAACAGATTTGTTGAATCTACTTTAATGATATGTATTTTCTCTCCGCGGGAAGGTGCGCCCCGGCTTGTTGAAAGGACACAGGGGGTGCACGGATTCGTTTCTCGCTTATCTAAGCACAACTTCTAATTCTCAGGAATCACGATAATCAACTTAATAACTTCATTAATTAAGATGCCGACCACAATACGCTCATAGATGCGTCTTACGACGCTAGATAGACCTATTCCTGTGAAAGTTACTACTATAAGAATAAGGAGTCGATTCTTTTAATCCTTCGAAGATAATTACGCGACGCAAACGATGGCTACGATTTGTGCCCCTTTTGGTATTACTTTACGAACAGGCTAGAATTAGCTCAAAAAGGTCGAAAAGCTAGGCTCCCTAGGTACTAGGCGTACACGGAAGCTTTCTATAAGGCTCGGAATGCCTTTATCTATTAAAAAAGAGACCGTTGAGATACTTTTATCGCCGTCGCGAAACCCTGTCCGAAACTAGACCTACGAGGCTTAAATTAAATTCCACAACTTACCCGTCAAGCCACGCTAGCTACGAAACAAGATAGTAGACTATATAAAGAATGCTCGGCGCTACAAGATGGCCTATATAAATAGTTCGTTTAAGTATATCACGTCGATAATCGTCGGAAACACGGCCAAAAGTATTAAGGCAAGACGGTCGAGAACACCTTCTAATAGTAGGTCTTTTCGGACGAGGCGCACCTCGATCTAGGTTAATAGTAAGCTAGTTTTATCCTCCGGGAAGAAGGAACAAGATTTGACCCGGATAATATATAAATGGCGGGCAAAAAGATAGGTAACGTTTTCTACGTTTCCGGGTAGGCAAATTAGTATACGCTAGCGCCGGAATTAACCTTCTACTACGACGAGGAACCTTATATTAAATAGCCGAAGCGTCCTAGGAAGCCTAGGCGTTTAAAGTATAAAAGCGAAGAGTAATATAGCAAAGAAATCGTAGCCTAGAACGCTTTAGCTCTACACCCGAAAGAGGTTAAGCCGAAGGGTAACTCGATAACCGGAAAGTACTATACTAAGAAGATTTTGCCTAGGCTACTCGAAGCCGTATACGGGCTACGCCGGCGCTTTGATTTAGAAGGGAAAGAGCACTAATTCGTCTTATTAGAGGATAATAATCGAAGTTATGGCTACACCCTCCCTTACCGTCCTAAAACTCTACAGGACAAGCTTAAAATAGCTACAAACGTCGAGATAATTGACTATCCTCCCCTGTCGCTAGATGTCAACTGTTAGGAGCCTGTTTAGAATATCTTAAAGGCTCGAGTTCGACAAAGAATCTGGAATACGATAGAGGAATACAAGGCTGTGATTTAGGACGAATATAGTAAGATAACGCTCGAGGAGGTGCGCAAAAGGATCCGTGAAATACCTGACAGGATAAACTAACTTGTAGAGCGTCCTGACAAGATAATTAAGAGCGATATCTAGTAGCGTTGTGAATATATTTAATTATTTGATCTGTAGATAGCCTCAAATTCATGAAGTTGTGCTTAATAAGCGAGAAACGAATCCGTGCACCCCCTGTGGGATCTTGTGGAAAGTGTTGAAGCTAATGAACCTCGATTACGGTTCCTATACTTTTTTTCAGAGCATGTTTATCGTTGCAAACACATTCCGTGAAATTTCCCTTGTCACGATGTCGTAGTCGTTTTCTCAATTTTTCTTATAACTTTCCTGCTAGTTATCCAATTTCGAAAACCTCTGACTGATTTGTCAATATGATAGTCCAGCCTCATTCTTAGACTTCGCAAGGCTTCCTCGACTGGCTTTTGTTCACCTAGCATATTTCTTCTGAGGTCTCTGCTGTCATAACCGAGATGCCTTCGCCTTAGTAAACTTTCCTGCTCTCTTATTTCCATTTTTCTAACCTCGTCGAGTAAATTTTCGAGGCTGATGTCATAATTTATGGCAATACCACATGTAGGATCCAGCCCTACAAAAGCGTACATATAATCTCTGGGCTCGGTACAAAGAGACATGTTACAGATGTTGAGATACAACAACAGATTGGATGGATAAAAAGCATAAGACCTCAACGTGATCAAATAAAGAACCTCTACCCCCTGCTTCTGGGTAAAATTGCGAATAACTTCAGATCCTTGGCGTTCATGGTCCCCAATTGTTGAATCCGCAAGTACTTTGCATGTCCTTACCATAACTTCCGAAGAAATGCAAAATTCTCCACAATGGAAAGCTGCTGTAGAGGCAAGGCAGAACTCCTGTACAATCCATGCGCGATACCAATAAGATTTTTCCATCAGCTGGCCCATCGCCTCGGTCTCCTGCAGTGACAGCTCTCCCTTCAATTTGACTGTACGTTCTGTGCCCTCAAGTAGATACTCCCGGTAGAATAAATCTACATATATTTCGTCGCCAGCTTTCACTTTTGGGAGCATTTCAGAGCTTTCACCTGAAACCAGAGACGAAATCCGACTAAATCCAGCGTATGCCAATGGTGTATGTTTATCCTCGCTACCCAGCCACACCAAAACTAGCTGTGCCATACTATATATCCTCCCCATGAGCTGTACCTGTTGACTTTTCTCTTCATTATCGCTCTAATTGATACATATCGCATCGATCCATAGGATTCTTTCCCTGTCCGGATATCTGAATTGCTGAAGCGCTAAATAGAGATTGTGGCGGATACACACATCATGGCCGTCGATTTTGATGACCGGATCTTCAGCCGAGGCAAGCCCCCATTCGTATGAGACAGCCTCATATTGAAGCTCACTTAGTTCACCGTGCGTAACTCGGCGTGCTATATCGGAGCCGGTGCTGGATGGTTGGAGAAGTAGGACTCTGATTTCGGTTGGTGTTGTGAGGGGTTGATAGGGCAGTGCCATGCTGCAGATGTCCGCAGTGGCGTTGAAGCGGTGTGAGGTTTGTCTGGTTTACGGCTTGATACGTATGGAATCAGGAGTGACGATGTCAGAAACTTTGTGCAAACGGGGAAGAACGAAACAAATGAGGCTGTGGTTGAATCTGTTTGCGGGTGGGGCTGACTTCCAAGTTTCATAGGGCTGATTTTTGGGGCTGTTTCCTCTCGCTTAATTTGTCACTGCTGCCTAGCCATTCTTTGAGAGCTTCTTTTTCAGGAGATATGTCTGTTCACATATACTTCTGGTTTTCTTCTTCTATCAATAATCTTACAATCAAGTCCCTTAAATCATTCAGACATTATTGATCATATTTACAGCATCAAAAATATGGCA